CCAATAAAGTATTTATGTCGAGGCCGAATTAGTCGAGTGGCAATATGCATCTGTTCTAAAGTCGGAGAGGATTGTGCAAACTTCAGGTGGTATGAAGTCAAAGATAGTCAAAGACCATTGTTATGCGCTCTATATTACGCGCTCCTTACGAGATGTTCTCCTGGGGTTAAAGGCACAGTCCGGGACTGGACCAATGTATTATTGCGCTTGCAAGTGGCATCGGAGATGTGAAGCGCAACACAAGTAATGAAAAAGAACGGGAAGAAAACGTGGTAATGACGATAAATCCCGGTCTCTGGAAGCGGCGAAGCGAAATATGTAGCATCGGTTTGTGGGCGTGGTCAACGGTGTTGGGCGTGGCCAATACCGCATCGTAGGGCCGTATCGTCTCCACCCTGTCAAAACATCCCGAAAGTTGTGTACACGAACCCTGCTTGCGTATCACTGCATTATCTTGGGAAAAGGCGCAAGTTCAACAGTCTCGGACTCTGCCTTCGTGGGATTGGGCATGAATGATGATGGTGTTTGGTAAGGTAAAATGTGCTTTCTCTCAACCATATGGATATTCTCGCTTCTGGGGTGGAAGATTAATATAAAACATGACGTGAAGGAGGAAAGATTGATGTCCAGATAGTTTTTTACAAGCCGCAGCATAAACAAGGATCAAATTTGTATATCGCCGAACAAGCCAAGCGATCAGAACCTCTCTAGAACTCCCTTAACTTTGGCCTGTGCCTCAAAATTTATTGGCGAAGCACGGCTTCCAGCAACCAAAAATACCCTTTGTGCTTTAGATTATGAATGGAAAGTACTTTATACTCGGTAGCATTCGTTCTGATTAATTGTGCACTCTATGTACAAGTGCGGAAACGTCGACGAGGACAGAAGACGGATGTGACAGGAAACTCACCTCCAGCGCACATCGTTGATCATCCAGCGGGAAACGCTTGATGTTGATCTCGCAAGTGACTGTGTAGACAGCTGGATGACTCGCTTCCACAGTCCCGTTAGGGTAGATGAGAGCTGGAGCCCGGACTGACGAGAGGAGATCTTCGTGATGCAACCTGGAAGCACGTACCCTTAATTTAGGGCTCCTCCGCCCGTCCTGATCATAGCTTTGTTGAAACCACGCAACAATCTTTAAGCAAACTGGAAAGTCGTGGCTAGCCGCACGACTTCACTTCGCTTCGATCCAACATTCGGTACTGTTACCCGTTTGTGTGCAGTTGTAATGGGGCCGAAATTCGTGAACCTTCTAGGTAGCGGTTCTCAGGGAGGCTAAACAGTCTCCAGAAGGAGCCTCTGCAGAGCCTTCTTCCGAGGTGTTCTGAGCCTATTGTCCATTTCCAAAATCTGAAAGATAGCCAGTAATGGTACTCACATATTAAAAATGATGATATCGGGAACCCAAATGGCCGAAATCGGTAACCAGGTCTTCGCGATTCCGCCATACAACGCTGGATCCCACGACAACGACGGATCGTCCATTTCTGTAATTAGTTACATTAATACGAAGTTCCTCTTTGTGTGAGGGAGAGGATTTTTTCACATGTCACGTTTTTAATAAGCACTTATTCGCCTAGAAGAAGAACTTGAGAGCATGGCGCGTCTATTGCAATATTACGGAGGGAACCCATTAAAGCTAGGCGGGGAGGGGGCAGGAACTCTAGGGAAAATGGGAATGGCTTACGCTAGCTGGAGTCTCACCTCCCCTACCTGAGGCTGAGTCCATTTTTTTCTAACCAAAGAGAAGTTAACAGGTTCAAATCATTGTCAATCAATGCCCCCGTATCCTGCGATAGCGCCGAGAGCACTCTAGCCTCTCAGAAATCATGGAACGTCTTGGATACTATAGTAATATCGCCTTGTCACTAATTCTAGAACACCTATTACTCACATAATGCCCAGTGGTCATTAATCAACAACCAAGACACAAACCTCGTCGACATAGACGAGCACGGTCATCGTCTGTTTCAGCTCGTCTATGCCCAGAATATGAACCAACTCCATCTCGTAGTGCACGTCCAGCAAGCCATCGGCGGCGCGTTGACGTTGTGCCTCGACACAGGAGATGCTCAGTGAGCTTCTTCGACGACCCTGAGAGAAATCGCGCTGGAAGTCAGTTCGTAAAAGTCTATTTTTCGAGGGAAAGGACGCTTCAGTGAAAAAAGATCAGCAAGCTTTAGTTACCAATTTCGGGCTGCAGTTTGCTATTGATTTATTGTTACAGATTTTGTCTACACAACTCTTCTGAACGACGTCCCCGAACACGACAGCAAAGGTACCACATGAAGCAAGCCAGTGCTGACTTTTTTGAACTAATTCGTAGCCACAGACTACCTATTCATGCTTAATTGCCGCTTTGCAATTCTGCTAAAAAGGCTTAACTGCTCAGGCCGTCCTCTAACCAAATGGCTCGCTTGAGACGGTGAGAGCTCATTCACTGAACTCGAGCTACACCATGAAAGTGTCAATAGCCAAGGCCTGAAGGCAGTTCTGCTCACAGAGCGACTGCTCAGCCTTTCATCAGAAGGTAGTAACGTCGCCTGCTACCTGGACCCAAATGACGGCGATTGTTCTTCTATGGTTTTTGGGACAAGCGACGCGTCCATCGCGGTGTAATGCAATTCATGCAATCGTGTAATTGCTCTTTCCTTCGCTGACACACTGCCCAGATTTTCGAGAATTAGACAGAATAGCGCAGAATTTTTTGGGTTGTGAATGACGCTGGATTTCACAGGAGGATTAATGGCATAAAATTGATGTGGTTCTTGCACGCACGAATGCGACTGTATTGGTACGAAATGGGCCGGCAGTAAAGAAGAAAGGGAAAAAAAACTCGTCGAAATCCTTTAGGTTAAGGATTTACTCATTTTTGTAATCGGTCGTATAGACCATGGAGAGACCAAGGCGTGAGAAGGGAGTATGAGGCGAAAGATGTGCAAAAGATGGAGAGGCGCCATGAAACATTTTTCATAAAAGAAAAAAAGGAATCGCATCGATATGCAGCTCATTTTGCAAGGCTCTAGACGCTTTTGCGCGGTTTTGATTTCTGTGCACGGATAAGAAAATCTGGGTTTTTCTCTAGGGGTCCATCCCAGATCGGAGGATCGTTCGCACGACTTCTGCCTGGGTTCTGCCTTTAAGATCGAACGGACTTCAACACTCATATCCTACAAGTTCTCCATATATTCGAGGACGCAACCAGATTTTGTAAGATAAAGCATAAAATAAAGGATAAAGCATTTGCCGTTGATCAATCCCTTTTGGGATGCGGCACGCATTCTACTTCCATTTGTACATTCGTAGTGGCGTTTGAATGCGATGTGGCCTATACAATGACTTGCGGGGGCCAGCCGATGTTCAAGTCAGTGTTTTTATCCTCCCAGACAAGTCTGGTACCAATTAACCGACCCCGGAGGGATGGAAGGCTTGGTTGGCCCGGGCGACTCACGACCCAGGATTTGATCCCGGACCGCTCGCGTGGTGAGCGCGCCACTTGTCACTACACCACTTCCGCCCTTAGTCGCAGTACCCCTACGATTTTAAATGCACTGTTTTGAATGTCTCCTTGTCCTCCCCCTCCAAGGCCATGAACGCCAGAGGACGAATAAGTCGGCTCTGGTG